GATGTTTATGATTTTCTGTTATCATTGTTTACCGGTCCCATGGACCGTCGGGAAGACAATCTAAAGGTACACGTTAAAATTTACCGGTATAAAACCAGAAAATACCGGTTATTGGAAACTCTGGTCCTTAGCAGTGGGAGGAAACTGGAGGACCTGGAGAAAACGCACGAGGTTGGACAGGCGACCCTACTCCTTGTCACAAACAATCGGGGAATTGCAACCACGCTAGATAAAAATGAAGAAAAGTGGTAATAATTTCTAAAATACCATTATAATTCATGGAAACGTTACTAACAACGTCTGACGCCATCATCAAATTCCTGCTGTCAAGTCCTGGTTTAGATAACTCTACAGCACTAGGGGGCTCCTTACACTGCCCCAAACTGCGAAGTCACCTGCATAGCTGTTTTATACAGCTGTTGTGTGTCCAGAGATTTTTAAATATCAATTTAAATACTTACGTAATTCCTGCCCCTAATATTTCTCTAATAGGGTAACCATTACCCTTGCCCGTTTCTCCGTATAATATATGTAGATTAATAGCTGTGGTTATATTATAACATATACCCTGTAAATCATCTATAGGGGATGTTATATTACTACTATCACTAGATATATTCAATAACTCCGTTAAATTTGGTCTGAAATAAAGAGAGAGACAGAAATGTAGTTTAATGTCCACTCAACACAAACAAGGTCATTTCGCGACTAACATATGGTTCAATTTTATTTCAATAATTTGCTTGCATTTAGGGGTCTTTAGCAGTGGGAGGAAACTGGAGGACTCGGAGAAAACCCACGATGATGGACAGGCGACCCTACTCCTTGTCACGTAAAACTGGGGAATCGAAACCACGCCGGGTGACTCAATGACAGACCTTATGATACCACGCACATGCGCTAACCATTCGGATATCAACACCCCTGTCTCAAACAACAAAAATAAATAAATTTTATGATCCTCATAAATTCATAAAAAGAGCAGACAAGTACTGTATATAATGAATCTTGAGACGTAATTAAAGACCAAAACTCCATCAATGAAATAAAATGGGGTTTAACATCCTACTGTTCTGCTCAGACTGGGCTAACGAAGATGGGCATAAGCCATACAGTGCGCCATTAAGGAAATTTTGCCTGGACAAAGGTGCTACAACCTGCTCTTATAATAACCAATTACAACTGCCAAGGGAAATGAAATGAAATGAAATGGGGTTTAACTTACTACTGTTCTGCTCCTAAACTGGGCTAATGAAGACGGGCATAAGCCATACAGTGTGTTATGAGGGAAATTTTGCCTGAAGAGTGGCACTACGACCTGCTCTCATATTGAATTACAACTGCCAAGGGACCTTTAACGTGCGTGTCAATGTGTACACGGGACCTCAGTTTTTCGTCCCATCCAAACGACTAGACAGCTGTCCTTGTCAGGCCCTCCGTCCTGCATCACTGACAAGGGGAAACCACGCCAGAAAATCTGGATGAACTTTCTCGGCCAATGCAGGGATCGAACACCCGACCTCCAGGCTAGTGAGTCAGCATCTTACCTACTTAGCCACGTGATCCCCCACAACTGCCAAGGGACCTTTGACGTGCAAGCCAATGTGTACACAGGACCTCAGTTTTTCGTCCCATCCGAACGACTATACATTGCCCCTTGTCAGCCCCTCGGTCCTGCACCAATGACAAGGAGGAACCAGGCTGGAAAATCTCGATGAATTTTCTCGTCCAATGCAGGGACCTCCAGGTTAGCGAGTCAACATCTTACCCACTGAAGCACCGTGACTTCCTTAAATGTAAAAAGATATATGACCTACCTGAGAATTTGTACCCAGAAAGTCTGGTTATTTGGATCATTGTAGCCTAGTCTACCCAGTACATTGGCTGGCATCAAGGTATTCAGATGATTTAAAACCAGAGTTCTGAAAAGACATGAAAACAACCATAGAATCAGTAATTTCAATAAGCATGAGTTTAAGTCAGACTAGCCGTTGACCATGCATAGCACGGATATAACCATGAAACAGAAGTAGCGTAAATCTGGATCCGGAAGGCCATCGCCACCAGGCCTATGTTACTCCCCGGTTCGAACTACCCCTATATGTTGTCCCGTGCCAGGCCCTTTGTTCTGCAGAACTGATAAGAGGGAAATACATCAGAAAATCCTGATGAACTTTCTCGACCAAGGATCTTCAGGTTAGTGAGCCAACGTCTTACTCACTGAGCCACACCGGCTCCCGAATTTCCGAATTTAAAATAAGAGTTGCAGTAGTCCAGGCAAAATGTCCCTCATTACCCCAGTCAGTGCAGAACAGTGGGACTTTAAACACAATTTGATTTGTCTCCTTCACACTAGCTCTGCTACCTGTATCAATAGCAATATCAGAAGTTATCTACACTAGTAATAATATCAATACAAAGGAGATGAGACACCATCTGAGATTGAGAATTCTGGACATCATGCAATATTGAGAATTCCGGACATTATACAATATTGAGAATTCTGAACATCAAACAATATTGAGAATTCTGAACATTATACAATACTGAGAATTCTGAGCATTATACAATATTTAGAATTCTGAACATTATACAATATTGAGAATTCTGAACATTATACAATACTGAGAAACCTGGACATTATACAATACTGAGAATTCTGAACATTATACAATATTTAGAATTCTGAACATTATACAATATTGAGAATTCTGGACATTATACAATACTGAGAATTCTGAACATTATACAATATACTTACTTGAGATTATCACAATCATTAATCTGTGCTAATCCTAGCCGTAAAGTACAACCAGATGTCATGTCTTCACCAAATGTTAATCCTCTTCGTTTAGCATTGAAACATAAGCCATCAGATTCTACAGAAATACATTTCAAATAATTGGTAAAACAAACAATTATTAATTTATACATTACATATGGGAGGCGCGGTGGCTCGGTGAATATCTAATCTTTTCTATCTGTTTGATGCATCAATGTGTAGCAGAAATGAAATGGGGTTTAACATCCTACTGTTATGCTCTAATAAAAATAGGCATAAGCCAACTGCCAGGGGATCTTTTGCATGCATGCCAATCTATACATAGAAATTGGTTTTTCATCCCATCCGAATGATTAGACAGCGGTCCATCCTGCACCACTGACAAGGGGGAATCACGTCGGAAAATCTTGATGAACTTTCTCGGCCAATGCAGGGATCAAACACACGACCTTCAGACCAGCGTCTTACCCATTTAGCCACCGTGGCTCCTCGATGTATAGCAAGTAGACAGACGATCACATCGTTGGCTCGTGTATTGATGAATAATAACAACACTAACTACAAGATATGCCTAAATTTAATTATTAAATTACAGTACCTGGCTTCCATATGGCCATTTGATTAATTACATCTTGATTAACACCAGCGAAACCTGCTGTAGTTACATTAGAACAACCACTAAACACCTGCTTACCAAAATCATAGCCTACAAAACAAAACAACATATTTATCATAGTCTCCAAAACAAATTAATATATTCATAACATAGAGAGAGAGAAATGGGGTTTAACGTCCACTCGACACAAACTAGGTCCTTTCGGGACTAACATATGGTTTTTAATTTTATTTCAATAATTCGCTTGCGCGTAGGGTTCTTTAGCAGTGTTAGGAAACTGGAGGACACGGAGAAAACCCACGAGGTTGAACAGGCGACCCTACTCCTTGTCACGTACAACCGGGGATTCGAAACCACGCCAGATGACTCAATGACAGGCCTTATGATACAGCGCGCATGTGCTAATCATTCGGCCATCTAACCTATATTCATAACAACAAATTAACATATTTATCATAGCCTCCAAAACAAACGAATATATTTATAAAGACAAATTAATCAATTTATCATAGTCTACAAAAAAAATTAACATATTATTAAAGACAAATTAATATATTGATAAAAACAAATTAACAAATTTATCAATGCTCGTATGACCTCTGACGCGATCGTCCACTACAACCGGTCAGATCTTCGTGTAGTGTAAGCCATCGAAAGTATAAAAAAATAAAAAGAAATATAGATGTGTATTTTAATCAGATTGAGATTGAAAGGACATTGAAACAAACCTGGATTTCCCGATCTATCGTATTTCATATTCAGCTGGTTGTAATTATCACTGCTGTTGTTAGGACCAGAATTCTCTTGATTAAACACTACCTGAAAATTCTGAGTGACGGCAGGAGAGCCTGATAGCGGCAAGGCACCAAGTATAATATCTGCATCCAATCTCACAACTTTCTGTCTGTTCCATGTAAATCTATATCTCACATCCACGACAGAGTTCTCGCAGTTGGTTCCGACAACTTGCGGAGTTCCTGCTCTCGTAAACCCATCGTCGAACGCACACAGTGGCGGTAGAGCCACAGGCGCTTCCTGTCGGCCATTGTTATAACTAACACAATTTGGATTATCACATGGACTTTCACAATTCTCATTTTGTAGTGAGGAATTAAATAGCCAAGAAACTGTAGGCTGGACGATGCTGTCAAAAGTAGTCGAGCTTTTCAAGTAGTTCTGCATATAATTGCTATCGGCGCAATAATAGTTCACATAAGATGGAGCAGGGACAGTGGTTCCATATTCTTCACAAATCTCAAATCCTTCTGGACATGGAGGCTTGAATATTGTTGAGGGTTCGGCATAGACTCTGGCACTGAGAACAGAACTAATGGTACACAAGCTGTCAGAGGCTGTGGAAGTACAATCGGAGGTGAAATCTTTCAGGAATTGTACTGGAGCCGTTCGCACGCAATCTCCACTAGCAGATCTCTGCGGTAAAGCAAGGATACCTTTATCCGATACAGTAATATCGGCTCGATTTGTCCGGATGCTGGCACCATATTGATAACCTCTTAGAGCTGAATTAGGATCATTAAATCTTTCTTCTGTTTTACTGAAACAAAAACAAATAATTTAACATAATGTTTAAAATTCTAATATCTAACATATTGGAAATCTAACATAATATTTAAAACATAATCTTTCTTCTGTTTTACTGAAACAAAAACCAACATTATAAATTATATCAAACATAATGATATTTAATGTCCAACATATATATTTGAAATCTAAGATAATATTTAAAATCATATTTAAAACTTAATACCATATTTTTAAAATTTCAAACATTACATTTAATATATACATGTAACATAAATAATGTAACATTAAGTTTAAAATGTAACATTAAGTTTAAAATGTAACATTAAGTTTAAAATGTAACATTATGTCTAAAATGTAATATTATGTTTAAAATGTAATGTTATGTCTAAAATGTAACATTATGTTTAAAATGTAATGTTAAGTTTAAAATGTAACATTATGTCTAAAATGCCAATGTTTGCACGGGACTTCGGTTTTTTGTCAGGCTCTCCATCCTGCACCACTGTCATGGAGAAACCATGCCAGAAAATCCAGATGAATTTTCTCAGCTAATGCAGCGATGGAACATGCGACCTCCAGGCTAGCGAGCCAGCGTCTTACCCACTTAGCCACTGTGGCTCCTCTAAAGTAATAACATCTTCACCATGATATTTAGAAATTTCAAATCATTACCCAAGAGTGAAGAGATTTTTCTTGCTAGCAACTCGTCCATTAAACTCCACATCAGAAGTGATTTTTGGTTGGTTTTCATGAAATAAACCTAGGAAGCCATTTTCTTCGAACACAACACAAGTCAAAGGAAACCAATCATCTTTAAATGGATTTGTTGATGCACAACTTCTGTCCGGAACAGGGGCAGGTAATCCACCCGCTAAACCGGGTAGACAGCTACTAAAAGTATTCTTTACTTCATCGGTGCAGTCCTGTCAAAAAGATTATTCAGAATATTTAAGAATATTACTTCCGCTATTGCATGTACCTACATCAATAGTTCCAACTTAATACCTGTCGCAGACCATTTTTACAATCCTCTGAGATCTCCCCTTCTCCTCCATCTGCATTTAGTCGATTAGTCGCATATATGGGGCATTGAGACAGAGAGACAGAAATGGGGTTTAACGTCCACTATACACAAACTAGGTCATTTCGGGACTAACATATGGTTCAATTTTATTTCAATAATTTGCTTGCGCGTAGGGGTCTTAGCAGTGGGAGGAAACTGGAGGACCCTACTCCTTGTCCCGTACAACTGGCGAATCGAAACTACGGCAGTTGACTCAATGACAGACCTTATAATACAACGTGCACACGCTAACTTTTTGGCCATCCCCCCCCACCCCCTGTTTTCTTAGCGGAACCCTGTAATTTATTACATGAAAGAATAGATGTACTCACAGCATCACAACAGCACTGTATATCACAAGCTTTAAATGTCACATCACAGGGACATGGTGCAATTTCTAAAAACGCTGGGTTAGTTATAATTCTCTCAGAGGCACTCTCACCAGTAGCTAATGAAAAGAAAAAAAAATGGTGTCATATCCTGTTCTGTATTAATTACACTGGTACAGTTAAGCAGAAATGTACTAATTCCTGAAAAAAACCGTTAACTGTTCAAATGAGAAGTGGTGACAAGAGTTCTAGAAAAAGTAAGCATATCCTGCCTCATCTATGATTCCTGTCACAACGTATAGTGAAGATAGACAAAAGTCTACCAGCAAAATGGTTGAAATACAAAAGTCTACCAGCACAATCGTTCAAATACAAAAGTCTATCAGTACCAAGGATCAAATACAAAAGACTACCAGCAGAGTGGTTTAAATACAAAAGTCTACCAGCACAATGGTTCAATTACAAAAGTCTACCAGCACAAAGGATCAAATACAAAAGACTACCAGCAGAGTGGTTTAAATACAAAAGTCTACCAGCACAATGGTTTGAATACAAGAGTCCACCAGCAAAATGGTTCAATGGTTTAAATACAAAAGTCTACCAGCACAACTGTTTAATTACAAAAGTCTACCGGCAAAGATTACACTAAAATGTACTTACTAACTCCTCCCGTACAGTTTGAACAAAGATCAACTGATAAATCTGCTTCTGCTATCATAGCAACCGTCTGACCATTATATTCGTTAATACTGGGTGTTTGAACGCAGCATGTGATAACTACGTACTCTCTTATATCACCTATAACCTCCAACTGACGTCTCAATACAAAAGTCTTGTAATATTCAGCTCTCTGTAACCATAGAGAAATTAAATGAAAGAGAGAGAGAGAGGAATGGGGTTTAAAGTCCACTCGACACAAACTAGGTCATTTCGGGACTAACATATGGTTTAATTTTATTTCAATAATTCGCTTGCACGTAGGGGTCTTTAGCAGTGGGAGGAAACCAGAGGACAAGGAGAAAACCCACGAGGTTGGACAGGCAACCCTACTCCTTGTCTCGTTTAATCGGGGATTTGAAACCATGCCAGTTGACTCAATGACAGACTTTATGATACAGCGCACATGTGCTAATCATTCGGCCACCCAGCCCCCTAAATAAATGAAATGAAATGGATTCATTTTTAACATCCTTCTGTTCTGCTCCGACTGGGCTAATGAAGACGGCCATTTGCCTTACAGTGTGCTATGATGGAAATTTTGCCCGGGCAGCAGCACTATGGCCCACTCTTATATCGAATTCCAACTGCTAAGGGTTCTTTTACATACACGACAAAATATAAACAGTTCCTCAGTTTTTCATCCCATCAGAACGACTAGCTAGCTGTCCTTGTCAGGCACCACTGACAGGGGGGTTTCCCTATGAACTTTCTCGGTCAATAGAAGGATCAAACACGTGACCTCCAGGCTAGCGCACCAGCAATTAAAGAGAAATGAAATGATGTTTATGTCCGTCTGTTCTGCACTGGCCGGGATAATGAAGACAGGCATATGCCATTAAGTGTGCCCTTACAATGGTCTACTCTTATATCGAATTTGAATTAACAAGGATTCCTTTATGTGTACGCCTTTAGCAGTGGGAGGAAACCGGAGGACCCAGAGAAAACACACGAGGTTGGAGAGGTGACCCTACTGCCTGGTAAGTACAACTAGAGAATCGAAACCACGCCAGCTGGCTCAATGACAGACCTTATGATACAACATGCACATGCCCACCATTCGGCCATCCAAACCCTGCTAACTAGCTTCAAAGTTTTGGTCTTTCGCAGTGGGAGGAAATGAAATGAAATGGAGTTTAACGTCCTACTGTTCTGCTCCTAAACTGGGCTAATGAAGACGGGCATACGCCATACAGTGTGCCATGAGGAAAATTTTGCCCGGGCAGCAGTGCTACGGCCTACTCTTATATCGAATTCCAAATGCCAAGGGATCTTTTACGTGCATGCCAATGTGTACACGGGACCTCGGTCTTTCGTCCCATCCGAATGACTAGACAGCTTTCTTTGTCAGCCCCTCCGCCCTGCATCACTGACAAGGGAGAACCACGCCGGAAAATCAAATCTAGATGAACTTTCTCGGCCAATGCAGGAATCGAACACCCGACCTCCTGGCTAGCGAGCTAGCGTCTTACCCACTTAGCCACCGTGACCCCCGCAGTGGGAAGAAATTGAAAAACACAGAAGGTTGTACAGGCAACTCTACTCCTTGTTACATACTAACTTGGGATCGAAACCATGCCACTTGACTCAATGACAGACCTTATGATCTAATGTGCATGTGTTAAACCACTCGACCACCCCCTGTCGAAATGTAGGCCTACAAAGCTGAACAACTCGACCACCCCCTGTCCAAATGTAGTCCTACAATCGTACAAGGCTGAACAATAAAATTTACCTCAAACTGAAACACTGGCTCATCAATGGTCCATGGTGATGTAAGGTCTGGTGGTGTGGTTGTTATCGGTATAAATGTTGTTGATGGTATGATAGTTGTTGCGTTAATATCAACCGTTGAGTTATCAAATATTGTTGATGTTAACAGGGGAGTTGTTGTTGGTAGAGGGGTGGTAGTAGGTTCAGTAGTTGGTTCAGCTAAAAACAAATAACCATAAATATATAAACACTGCTACTTTGTTTATTGAATAAATTCTTATATATTATCTAAGCTTAATCTAAAAATTATCTTGTTATCCTTCACCTTAATTAAAGATGCATTAAGGCCATGTTGAATTTATTCCTTGTTTCTCCTGCCACCTTTCTGACAATCATGTGCGATAGTGCGGTAAACACAACACAAAGTGGGTTTCAAAACACAAAGTGGTCTAGCATAATATCTATAGTCTGAGGGTTGTGTACCTTTTTTAATATTATAAATAATCTACTTATTGGTTAGAATAAAAACACACTACACACATAATATTTAATTCAATAAATCTAATAACAACTTAAATTTGGTAACAAGTGGCTTCTTGTTTTTAAAATATGAAATAACCATATTTTGATACAAATTTTCTGTATTCTTGTGTTACAATACAATGCAAACATTTCAGTTAGACGCAATTTGATTTGCCTATAAGATTTTGATAAAAAGCTGACCGTCTTCGCCATAATAGTTTAAAAATAGACAATAAAATAAAGGAATATATTGAAAATTTCAAATTACTGTTTAAAGAATAGCGTAATGTCGATTTTCGTTTTTATCGTGGTGAAAATAATAAACAAAATCACAACCATCCGATGGTCTGGTGAGTTAATTATGGGCTTGTCATGTGAATAAAAGCTTAATTAATAATTCATACAACATTTGAGGTGATGGGCAGATTCAACTCTTACATAATGCATTTTTAACATTCTCCATCATGCAGATGTACACATTATATAAATTATACATACAATCTAGAGATACACATACCAAATCACAATATCATACAATAAAAAAATATAATCTATAGATGGTTAAAATACTACAAATAAATCTGTTAATATTATCATACACTACAAATCAAACTCTGTTAATATTATCACACACTGCAACTCGAATCTGTCTGTTAATATTATCATACACTGCAACTCAAACTCTGTTAATATTATCATACACTGCAACTCGAAACTGTCTGTTAATATTATCATACACTGCAACTCGAAACTGTCTGTTAATATTATAATACTCTGCAACTCAATCTCCGCTGTTAATATTATCATACTGCAACTCAAACTCTGTTAATATTATCATAAACTGCAACTCGAAACTGTCTGTTAATATTATTATACACTACAACTCAAACTCTCTGTTAATATTATAATACTCTGCAACTCAATCTCCGCTGTTAATATTATCATACACTGCAACTCAAACTCTGTCTGTTAATACTATCATACACTGCAACTCAAATTATCATACACTGCAACTCAAACACTGTCTGTTAATATTATTATACACTACAACTCTCTGTTAATATTATAATACTCTGCAACTCAAACTCTGTTAATATTATCATACACTGTAACTCAAACTCTGTCTGTTAATACTATCATACACTGCACCTCAAACTCTGTCCGTTAATACTATCATACACTGCAACTCAAACTATTCACAGACACACACACACAAGCTCAAACAAAAACCATGATATTATAATAAGTTGTTATAACAACTGTTACACTAAGTACGGTTTGAGGTACAAGTTTTATTATAATAAGTTGTTAGAACTATTGTTACACTAAGTACAGTACCAGTTCTATAACTACATGTACCATTACTATAAGTACGGTAATGGGTACTAGTTTTATCATAATCAGCCGTTAAAACTACCACTATACTAAGTTCGGTACTGAGTACTAGTTTCATTAGTACTTTCTACTGTGAAATAATTCAAATAAAATTGTTAGAACTACCGCTATACTAAGTACGGTACTGGGTACTAGTTCCATTAATATTGTCTACTGTGAAATAATTCAAATATTGTTAAATTTATATTAACTACATTACAAAATTAAGTCCTTCAGTTCTACACACAAATATACGAGATTAAAACTTACCAATAATTTGAATCCAGAGTGAATGAAAATTAAATAAAGTAACACAATTTATTAGCATAAATATGAAACAACCACTCCAATATAATTGTAAAGTCAAATCGAAAAAATTCTTCGTTTATTATTAGTTTGTTCTCCAAAGAGAAAATGGGGTTTAACTTGACACAACTAAGTTATTTTGAGACTAACATATGGTTCAATTTTATTTCAATAATTCGCATGCGCGTAGGGGTCTTTAGCAGTGGGAGAAAACTGGAGGGCCCGGAGAAAACCCACGAGGTTGGACAGGCAACCCTACTCCCTGTCGAGTACAACCGGGGAATCAAAACCATGCCAGTTGACTCAATGACAGACTTTATGATACAACGAACGCACACATGCTAACCATTCGGCCATCCAACCCCGCTACTCAATGACAGACCTAATGATCTAATGCACATGTGTTACACAACTATACCCCCCTCCCCTCTTCCCCTTCCCCTTAATTGAATAGTTATAAATCTACAATAACAATACAATCAAGCCTGGAAATAAGGCATCTGTCACAGACAATGTCAGGCACAGATTCAGGCTTTGTCAAGCACAAAACCTCTGGTGCCTGTCATTTTGTACGGCACTGATTTGTCTTTTTTATTGATATTATTAATACATGTCCGGCACTAAGTTGAAAATGTCAGGTACTATTTCATTAGTGCCAGACATTTTGTCAGGTACATCATAAACCGTTATTTCCAGGCCTGAATACAATACTGATTTGTTGATGATGTAGTAATTGATGGAGTACAACTAGACCCCTCCCCCTTGAATAGTTATTATATACTGACTTGTTGATGATGTAGTAGTTGGTGGTGTACATGATGGATTCTCATATAGAGCTCTAGCCTCATCTAACGTCTCTACCATATCAGACTGACAAACACCACTAACATCACCAGTACCAGTTACAGCTTTATCTAATACCAGAAATACCTAAAAACAAATACACCAAACATTGTTAAATATACAGCTGTATCTAATACCAAAAATACCTAAAAACAAATACACCAAACATTGTTAAATATACAGCTGTATCTAATACCAAAAATACCTAAAAACAAATACACCAAACATTGTTAAATATACAGCTGTATCTAATACCAAAAATACCTAAAAACAAATACACCAAACAATGTTAAATATACAGCTGTATCTAATACCAAAAATACCTAAAAACAAATACACCAAACATTGTTAAATATACAGCTGTATCTAATACCAAAAATACCTAAAAACAATATACATTGTTAAATATACAGCTGTATCTAATACCAAAAATACCTAAAAACAAATACACCAAACATTGTTAAATATACAGCTGTATCTAATACCAAAAATACCTAAAAACAAATACACCAAACAATGTTAAATATACAGCTGTATCTAATACCAAAAATACCTATAAACAAATACACCAAACAATGTTAAATATACAGAATTTAAAGTGGAATTATAGAAGATTAGATAAGGAGCTGGTTTAATGCCCACTCGACACAAACTAGGTCATTTGGGGACTAACACATGGTTCAATATTTATTTCAATAATTCGCTTGCGCATAGGGGTCTTTAGCAGTGGGATGAAACCGGAGGACCTGAAGAAAACCCACGAGTCTGAACAGGCAACCCTACTCCTTGTCAGGTACAACTGGGGAATCAAAACTACACCAGTTGACTCAATGACAGATCTTATGATACAACGTGCACATGATAACCATTCGGCCATCTAACCCCCCAAAATAATTCAGGCAATAATTCTCAATTCATCATATCTTTGCAATTAAAAGAGAGAGAAAGATGGTATTTAACGTACGTACAACAAGGTTATTTTGGGACTAACATATGGTTCAATATTTTTTCAATGATTCACTTGCGCGTAGGGGTCTTTACCAGTGGGAGGACCCGGAGAAAAACCCATGAGGTTAGACAGGCTATCCTACTCATTGTCACGTACAAGCAAGGAATTGAAACCCCATGACTCAGTGATAGATATTATGATCTAACACGCACACGTTAAACCTACTCATTGTCATGTAAAGCGAGGAATTTAAACCATGCCATTTCACTCAATGATTGATATAATGATCTAACATGCACCACGTGAAACCATTCGATATCTAAACACCAATTTTTAAAAAGATAAAGTGATAAAATTAACATATACCTCCAATGATGTTGTGTGAATCTGGGTGAATACAGGTATCAACTGAATCGTTCCAGTTCCCACAGTAAATCTTGCTGTTGATGTTGTCGGATCTGTAAATACATTAAACGGGGTTAACATCCTACTGTTCTGCTCCGACTGGACTAAATAAGAAGGGCAAATGCAATGCAGTGTGCCATGAGGGAAATTTTGCCCAGACAGCGGCGCTACAGTCAACTCTTATCACCAAATTATAACACAGGATCTCTGTTTTACGTCCCATCCGAATGACTATACAATAGAATTTGGTGGTAGTATGGAATAGTTATTAGCACACTTTCCGAGGTGTATTGGTGAAGATCAGGACAGTTTTGGTCAAGGGGCCCAGCTGAGGTGGCCCCCGACCAAAACTTTCCTGATATTCACCGATACACCGAGGAAAGGTGCTAATAAGTCACTTACATCACATTTCTATCGAGTATTGTCAAGCGAAATGTGAAAAATAGTATTTATTATCGAGTCATGTCAAGCGAAATGTCACAAATAGTTTCTGCTCTTTCATTTATCCCTTTCTGTGCCTCACGCTACATTTCATGGTAGAATGATTTCGAAGTGGAGAAACGACTGAGTAGTATTGCATTTACACGTGCGTCTTACTGCGTTACTCTGAACGTAAAACAGTCACAAGGTTTTTTTAGACTGCACTCCACAGATAGATGACGTGAACATAGAGCCAACCACATCCTCAAAACAACTTGTCCCTGGCATAGAGGACTGCAATTTTTTTCATATTAAAAGTAATGTAAAGGACACTGCAAAACGTGGATCAATCCTGGTGAAGTGTACATCGGCAGATGGTTCGTCCTTTGAAATTTATTTGTAATAAAATTTCGCTGGTTTGTTTTCATCCTGCATACTGTTCATTTCTGATACACGGATACTTTATGCCTGTATTGGAAATAAACAGGAAAGTTTTATCAAAGGTTGCCACTGGCAACGAGGTAGAAGTGGGATGTAAATTTCAAATAAATCTAACAATAGAATTAAATGTAAAACTAACCAACAGAATTTGTCGTCTGATACTGAATTCCGCCTGATTGTGAGTTTGCACTACAATTTACACTTACATCACTTCCTGTTGCTGTTACAGTATATGCCATCTGTAAATTAAAATGATAATACACAATGTATTACATACATGTATAGGAACTTTACAACTTAAACATAATGTAAGAGTTGAATCTGCCAATTGCAGGTCTTTCTTTAGGCCTGAAATGTTATCTAAATTATTAATTAGACATTAATTAACTTATCAAGACCATAATCAACTCTAGATGGCATCTCTAGTCTGCGATGTTTACTTGATTATGAACCCATTTGCTGCTCGACTTCCATTTATAATTTAATATGAAATTGATGATCGAGACTATGTTTTTTATCGTACAGACTTTAGTAATGATGATCGACGCTAGGCCGAAATTTCAATCGCTTAATTCTCGGTTCATAGTGGATCAATTTGACTGAAATTTTCAGCAAATTGCCATTATCTAGTTTTTAACTATTATAGTAAGAACTGCCAACTCTTTATCTAATCTCCCATAATGTATCTTTATATATACATTATGTAAGAGCTAAATCTGCCTATTGCAGGTCTTTCTTTAGGCCTTAATGTTATATAAATTATTAGTTAGAAATTTATTCACTTGACATGTTCATAATCCACTCTCTAGACAATTAGATGGATATGATTTTGAACAGATTGAAACACATCGACATTTAGTAACAAATATAGTAATGAAAATCAAGACAACGGTACATCTTCAAACAGTCGTAAGTTCACTCAAAATGAAGTAATTTGACTGAAAATTAAATCATTCTGGGTGAAGAGACTTGAAGATGTAGCATTAATCGTTTATTATTGTAACAACGGTACTTGACAACCAAGACTAAGCCTCGACTGTTCATTTTATTGTTAAATTTTTAAATCTTCTTGTCGGTGTTCAAATCCATTTAAATTTCGGCCATCCGATGGTCTAGAGAGTTGATTATAGACTTGTTGTGTGAATAAATGTCTAAATAATAATTTATATAACACTTGAGGCCAAAAAAAAGACCTGCAACAGGAAGATTAATCTCTTAAATAATGCAAAATGAAATGAAATGAAATGGGGTTTAACGTCCTACTGTTCTGCTCCTAACTTGGGCTAACAAAGACGGGCTTAAATAATGCAACTTTAACTCTACACAAAGACTGGACGTTATGAATCTTTTAATTAAATGAATCCATCTGGGGTCAGGCTGTATGCAGGGTCGTAACTAGCTCAGAGCATCGAGGGGGGGGGGGGGAAGTGTTCTCAGGGGTGCTGTAAAATTGACAGACAATGTATATCTATTGATTTATGGTCGTCAATTTTTTCACAGGGGTGGGGGGTGGGGTGGCCTGGTTGTATGTTATATTTACCTGTACATCAGTAGAACCAACAGCAGCCACAACAACTGGTATATTCATAGTAATCGAACCTAGAACAACAACACAGCAAAATTAACCAGAGTTATTCTATAAAGAAGATCTAAGAAAGACTTTTTCTAATGTGGCAAAAAATAATTAATGAGGGAGATCTTTAAACCTCCATTCGATACAAATCAGGTCATTTCCAGACTAACATCACATTCCTGAAGCAATGGTCCGAGAAATCCCTCTCTGCCCATTGTTTGATTGGCTTCTGATACTTGAGGGAGTGTGTGTATTTTTCCCGTTCAATGAAATCTATCCCAAGTACAGCAACATGACAACCCTTTGTTTAATCTGGTGTTGGTTGTTAATTGGACTATTGGCCAGTCATAATTTGGACCAGAAATTTGTTTCCATTAAAGCAGTGTTTAGTGGGATTAGCTGTAATCAAACTAAACACTGTGAGGAGTATGGACTAACATATGGTACAAATTTATTTCTATAATTTGCTTCTATGTATGGGGTCTTTAGCAGTTGGAGGAACCCAGAGGAGTCAGAGAAAACACACAAGGTTGGGCAGGTGAACCTACTCCTTGTTGTCCAGGTACAGGCTTGGAATTGAAACTATGCCACTTGACTCAATGACAGATGTCATTATCTAAAGCACATTCACTCCCCCACCCCCCGTCCTCAATAATTAATAAGATAAGATAAGATTTTATTGTATCATTGCATCCACCAAGCACAGTTCAAACAGATAAGATTAAAATGTTTTTTTGAGAAGCCATGTTTTTTCGAAGGAGACTGATATATCATTCAAGGATTAAATCGTTAATAGAGTTACTTCCCTTTGTTGTAAGACAAGTGAAGTGAGATAATTAATTAAAACTTTACTCATTTTCATGAAATAAAGAAGGGTCATGCAGTCCTTGGTAACTGATGTGTTGATATCCGTAAATCAGAACACTTCTTTTTAAATGACTGAAGTATATCTATGGACATACAAATCCTTGAATTATTTTATTCTAAAGATATACATTTCTAAACAATTCTATAGACATTGTGTAGGAATTGAATAACTTTATTCTAAAGATATATGGGCGTTGGATGGCCGAATGGTCAGCGCTGTATCATAAGGTCTGTCATTGAGTCAACTGGTGTGGTTTTCATTTCGCCGGTTGTACGTGACAAGGAGTAGGGTCGCCTGTTCAACTTCATGGGTTTTCCCCAGGTCCTCTGGTTTCCTCCCACTGCTAAAGACCCCTACGCGCAAGCGAATTATTGAAATAAAATAGAACCATAGGTTAGTCCCGAAATGACATAGTTTGTGTCAAGTGGACATTAAACTCTCTCTCTCTCAAGAAATAAAGATATACATTTCTATGACTGAGGAATAAAAATCCTACCGGCAGCAGTAGCAGGAATACATGATACTGCAACAGGAGCACCAATAACAGGATCGCTATAAAATATAGACAATAACATAACTTGGTCATCAACAATCCATGCTAACCTTGAGTGGGACCTAGTGATGGAGTGCAATTAAAAACACAACACAATTTATATGGAAAACAATCGCTGGTTTATAAACATATTAGTATTAGATATCTGTAATATCTTACCTTAGCCGTACAGTAAATTCACCATTATTATTAATATTAGTATTAGCTATCTGTATAACCAATTCACAGAAACTAACAATTGGTGGAGGTTGAAGTCGCAGCAATCTGAAGATAACAAAACAAATACTTTATTAAAAAAACAACATCATTTTAAACCATACAAACATTATAACAATCTGAAGATAAAAACATTGTTATCAATAATCAGCATACTATACAACCAAAGATTGACGATTCTTCGACCAAATTTCGGGGTAACAGTGGCTAAGTGGGCAAGACGCTGGCCTGCTAGCTTAGAGGTTGGGTGTGCTATCCCTGTATTGGCTGAGAAAGTTCATCCAGATTTTCTGGCGTGGTTTCCCCTCGTCAGTGATGCAGGCCGGAGGGTCTGACAAGGATAGATGTCTAGTTGTTCGGATGGGACGAAAAACAAAGGTCCTGTGTACATATTGGCGTGCACGTAAAAGGTCCCTTGGCAGTTGGAATTCGATAAAAAAGAAGGCCATAGCGCCGCTGCCCGGGCAAAATTTCCCTCATAGCACACTGTATGGCATATGCCCGTCTTCATTAGCCCAGTTCGAAGCAGAACAGTAGGACGTTAAACCCCATTTCATTTCATTTGGTATTTAGACAATGTAACTCTTTTAAATTACCATGGAGTGTAACATGAAGAAAATTTTCAGCCTCTCTTAATGCTTGGAAATCCCAAGGAAATTTTGAAGCCAGGAACTCCTGGTTAATGAGCCAGTGCCTTTCTCACTGAACCTCTGTGCCCCATCCTTCCCCAAATAGCAGGTCCTCCTGTTTCCTCCCACTGCTAAAGACCCCTACGCGCAAGCGAGTTATTGAAATAAATATTGAACCATGTGTTAGTCCCAAAATAACATAGTTTGTGCCGAGTGGACGTTAAACTCTCTCTCTCTCCAATGTTTGTTGGGTTTATACTTTGCTTACCAGTTTTTCAGTATTGTTAATTAAACTTACACTATATCACTAAATGATGTTGTTTTACAGAACTGTGTTGTTGATGTTGGTGTCTGGGGACAGACTGGATCAACAGAATTGGTCTGACCAAAACAACGAACATTGACTGAACGGCCTGGTGTCACTGGACTGAAAAAAAACAAAAACATAGTTTAAACAGGGATGGTTCATTTACATATATTTTTAAACCCGTTCCTGGAATCATACAATTGGTAATCTTGTCGTTCTTGGTGCGACTGTCTTAAGAAAACCCTATGGCCAGTTTTCTGTGTATGCGTTTTCGCAGTGCTTGGCGCACATATTTGCATGGCGAAAAATTGGGTCCAATACAAATGTAATGGTACAGTTTCCAAGTAGGGGGGTTGGATGGCCAAATGGTTAGCACATGCGCGCTGTATAATAATGTCTGTCATTCAGTTAACTGACGTGGTTTCGATTCCCCGGTTGTACGTGACAAGGAGTAGGGTTGTCTGTCCAACCTTGTGGGTTTTCTCTGGGTCCCCCGGTTCCCTCCCACTCCTAAAGACCCCTACGTGCAAGCAGATTATTAAAATAAAATTGAACCATATGTTAGTCCCGAAATGACCTAATTTGTGTCGAGTGGATGTTAAACCCCATATTTCTCTCTCTCCCTCCTCTCTCAGTTTCCACCTAACTGGCAAAATGTGCCTGGAAACATGTATATGTAAAACAGGCCTAAGACTCTGTCTATTCAAGTACAGTTGACATAAAACTTGGCATGTGTGTTCTTTGGACAATTGCGCATTGATTCATGGATGTTATATGTGATACGACATAACCATTAAAATTAACAATAATTTCACCTGATAAAGTTGGACAACTCTTTCATATGGGAACCCAAATGTACGGATTAACAAGGTCTGATTGAATATAAATGATCACCTGATTTGAACTTGTCCTGATGTTGATCCACCAACATTAAAAGTAATAGTAGAGAAAGTTACAGACGTAAAACCTGTTCCACTTGTAATTTGCTCACACGTTACTGCAACCTAAAAAAAAACCCCACAAATTGAATTGAAAATTAAATATCTTACATTTTTTTTATCAACTGGGCTAAAGAAGATAGGCATAGCTGTGCAATGAGGAAAATTTTATCCTGAGAGCTACAGACTATTTTTAGATGTGTTTTCTTAATTAAATGTTAAATAGTCAAACTGAGTATTGTAGTGATCGAGGGTATTGTATGCTCCCTGACGCAACCTTCCTCTACAACCGGGCAGATTTTCATGTAGTGGATGTCATCGACGGAAAAAAACATGAAACGAAATGTAGATCTGTGTTTTAATCAGATTGGGAATTTCGTTAGTTAAAACTTTTTTTAAACAGGAACGTAAATGGACGGAAAGAGAGAGAGAAATGGGGTTTAACGTCCACTCGACACAAACTAGGTCATTTTGGGACTAACATATGGTTTTAATTTTATTTTAATAATCTGCTTGCACGTAGGGGTCTTTAGCAGTGGGAGGAAACCCACGAGGTTGTACAGGGCAAATGGACGGATTAACAAGGTCTGATTGAAAGTGCCACTTGGTGTTCCATTGGTAGTATACATGTATGGATGGATTAAGATACAGTGCAAAATTAGTTAATATAGTCAGAAAAATACAGGATTGGCTGTAAAATTAGTCAACAGTGATCTCGTGAATTTTGTGCAAACACATGTAGTTAAAGATACATTATGGGAGATTAGATAAAGAGATGGCAGTTCTCGCTATAATAGTTAAAAACTAGAAAGTGTAAAGGTAATTTGCTGAAAATTTCAGTCAAATTGATCCACTATGAGCCGAGAAAGAAGCGGGTGAAATTTTTGCATAGTCTTGGTCATCATTACTAAAATCATTAATATAAACAGCATAGTCTCGATTATCCACTTTTATTGATTTAATTATCAATAGCCGTTAGCGGCATATAGGAATCAAATCCAGCCAACATCGAAGGCTAGCCTTGACATCGGGAGTTTATTATGGTCTGGATAAGTTAATTAATGTCTAATTGATAATTTAGATAACATTTCAGGCCTAAAGAAAGACTTGTAATAAGCAGATTTTGCTCTTGCATAATGCATGTTTAAGCAATAGGCCTACTTACTGTTTCACTCAAAGCCACTGTATCCCCGGCTGCATTAACAATAACTATAGATACATGAAGATATCGAGACGTTCCATCGTTTACAGAAAAGTAGTAATCTGAGGAATTTGATAAAATGTCACTGCTGCTACCAAAACCATCAATGACAACCTTGCCAATCTCTGGAAAAGAGAAGATGTGTATAAAGATGAAGATGGAGCTCTGTGATATTGTTGTTATAATAAAATTGATATTGTTGTTATAATAAAATTGATATTGTTGTTTTAATAAAATTGATATTGTTGTTTTAAATTTTAAGTTGTTTTAAATTTTAAGTTGTTTTAAGTTTTGGGCGCTCTGTATACTTATCATAGCGTACACGTTTCAATTCCTTCTTTGAACCATAGATGCGACTGGTACCAGTCGTGCTGATTATTTCCATATCATTGTCTGATAGAAATTCCTCAGAATATGACATTATATCCTTATCTTTATCTTTATATCCTTATCTTTATGTATGAGTTTCATTATAGCTAATATCTTGGGATGAGTTGTCTTCTAACTTGGAATAAGTTGTCTTTGGGATGAGTTGTCAGGTATTCATACCATAGATATACACGGAGGAATACCTGACAACTCATCCCAAAGACAACTTATCCCAAGACAACTCATCCCAAGTTAGAAGACAACTCATCCCAAGATATTGGTTCAAAGAAGGAATTGAAACGTGTACGCTATGATAAGTATACAGAGCGCCCAAAACTTAAAACAACTTAAAATTTAAAACAACTTAAAATTTAAAACAACAATATCAATTTGATCAAAACAACAATATCAATTTTATTATAACAACCATATCAATTTTATTGAGATAACACATTTTTATAACAAAATCAGAATGGTCTTCAGAGAAAGCAATTGTATTAAAACAAATATAACTGGCACTTAATTTGTTGGTACGAGTTGTCTTATATATCTACCCATGTTTTAAAGTTGGGATGAGTTGTCTTTTATCTTGGGATGAGTAGTCTTATATTGGGATGAGTTGTCTTGGGATGAATTGTCTTTGGGATGAGTTGTCTGTATACCCTATGGTATAAATCAAGGGTCACCAAACTTTTTTCATAGTGCGCCAGATATAACTGAAAGAATGCCGAGCGCGGACCAGATAAATTTTTTGTTCAATACAATATACTGAATACAGAATACACTGAATGTACACAAAAAATAAGGATAGTTATTCTGTTTATTTATCAATACATGAAATACACAAAATAATAAAAACAATAAAATATTTTAATCTTACCAAAATGTCACCAAGTGTGTGACGTTACTGACTCAGTCACCCAGTGTACGATATGCGTTATGTATGAAGTTTAAGAAGCTAAAGCATATTTTTTTTTTTGGCCTAGTAGTAGTAGTACATTGACCCGGCTACTTTTGACTTCTAACCCTAACCCTAATTCCAGAGTAGCCAGATCAATGTACTGAGCCTTTTTGTTCAGCATGCAACGGTGGGTCGCACAAACTGACGTCGCGGTATAAATGAATATGAATTATTCAAATATGATAACGGTATTCCAATTTTATTCATGAATTTCATGTTCAATCATGTTAGTTTCAGCAAGTAAATGAAAAGATACTTACCTTGTCCATAGGAAGTTGATAAAAACGTGGTCGTAATAAATAAACCAAATAACGTTCTTGTTACTTCCATGGTGTTTTGGCTGTAAATGTTTTTCTTGATAAACTTAAAACGGTAAAAATGTCACGATCATGTTTATTTACTTGCATTGACCGCCATTGCTGTAAACAACATCCTAATTTACCTTCGTATTAAAGATTTCAGCTCCAAGGGAGACAATATCGTTTTATATTTAACATCGTTTTTGCTTATATTCAGAGATTAAATACTTGTATATTATTGGTTCTATATGTAATAAATGTGAAGATATCTTATCATACCTAATATCTTTATTTTCAAATAATATTTACCAAGAGAGAAATAAAAAGTATTTTTAGTTCAGTTACCTCCCTTTAATGCAAACTATCCAAGGGAGGCTGCTCCTCAACATTTTTGGACTCGATTTTCGGTTGAAATTTTAGAGCTGGCCGTTTTGATAAGAATTTTTATGCCAAATTGGCAAAGATGTGTGAAGTTTTAAAATCTAATTTTGAAACCCTTTTCCCATTAATAGAAAATGCAATAAAGCAATGCGAATTTGTAGGTGATATATTTAAAAAATCGAGTCACGGATGCCAAGTCAAGCCCTAAAAAAATATGTTCATGTACTGTAGGCCCGTGTGATAGTTTGAGTTGACTCCAGGTGTGTGTTTTCTCCTGGGCATTTGCCTTAACAACGAAACTATATCTACTTCCTGCGGTGTGAGTTGGTTCCTTATCACTGGTCAGTACAGGAAAAAGTATATCATGTACTTGATTAGAGTTTTGTCATTAATAAACATACTTGTTATCGTGTAGCTGTTGTTTTGTTTTAGTGATCAGTAGTTACACGATCAACGGATCAAAGTTGATTGGCTTGAAATTGATACAAGTTCTATCGTTCGTGATTTGTTGCCGTTGTTTTTTTTTTAGTGATTAGTCGTTCTACACACGTACGATCAGTGGAAACCATACAAATTGATGATTGGCTTGAAATTATCAATTAATTCACCTCCAACGGAAGATTATTAAGGCCTTTGATATTTCGTGGCTTCATTTATCACAAATATAAAAGTATGGAATTTCTTATTCCGATTTCTTTAACATAAATATAGATTTATTATACCATCCCATACATTCAAACATGTATGTAGAATGCCCAAATACAAGAGAGAATGTTCGCATTGTGGACGGGTATATATACTAAATAATAATGATAAAGATCGTCAATTTGCATCCTCTCGTGGTGGTAATACTGTAAATATCGGTAGATAATAGTGTATGATTTGATCGTAAGAAAATCTTAGGGGAAATCCTATCACGAGGAGTCAATGCACACCGCGACTGGAACGGTGTGAGTTGACTGCTACAACTGCGCATGCGCCAAACGGTAATCACACACCAGGAACCATCTGAAACTGCCACACCCGCTGAGCCCCTTTGCCTTCTATTATGTTGTATAATGATTGAAATGGGGTTAGGGAGAAAATGTCATCAACCAATGGAAATGAAGATACAATCAATGGCCTATCCAGAAATCTTTTGATCAGTATTTTCAGTGCTGGATTAAGATTATGTTCTTGATAAAGTGAGAGAGAGAGAGAGAGAAATGGGGTTTAACGTCCATTCGACACAAACTAGGTCATTCGGGACAAACACATGGTTCAATTTTATTTCCATAATTCGCTTGCGCATAGGGGTCTTTTGCATTGGGAGGAAACAACGAGGTTGGACAGGCAACCCTACTCTTTGTTACGTACAACCAGGGACTCAATGACAGACCTTATGATACAGCGCGCACGTGCTAACCATTCAACCATCTAACCCCCTCTTGATAAAGTAGCTAGGGTTTAAGTATATAAATTTAAAAACAATTTACTATTTATAAATTTCAAACTAATATACCACACGGTCTCCCAATTACTATTGATATTATTTTATTATATTATTTTAGCACTAGATACAGAATTTACTGGTCTACAGTTTGATGAATCATGTAAAGCAAGGTTAGTACCATGGCTTCCATGTCGGCCGAGGGCCTTGAAAACTGACCGAAACTGGATCAGACCCATCAGTGATTCTGCATGCCGTAAAAATAGCTATTTTGTGCTAAATCACAAAATCCCCGGACACTGAAATTTTTCCAGGACAGCGTCACTGCGGCTTACTTTTTTTTTTAAAATTCCAACTTTCAAGAGTTCTTTTACGTGCACACCAAGGTGTACACAGGACCACCTATTATTAATCGACCAGTCCGAATGACTATACACTGTCCTTGCCAGACCCTCCATCCTGCACCACTGACAAGGGGAAACCATGCCGGAAAGTCTTCAATAACAAAATCTTAGAGCTAGAAACTTTTCTATGTGCTTTGTGTCATATAAATTCGATCGAAAACGAGCAACATTTTTTGCTATACTGTAACAAGTATGAAGAAATACGCCAAGCCCATTTATACCCAGCCTTCTCGGCAAATCCTAAGATTTCCTACAATTTTATTAATCTCTTTACACCACCAAAATTGATTGCCAAGGCAGTGGCTTCATATGTGTTTTTGGCTTTTGATAAGAGAGCTAAATCAAATATGGTGGCAACTACATGTAACTGAAACCCCTTCCATTCACTTGATTTGTGATATTTGTTTATTTGGTGCAATGTCTATTTTCTGTCTTGTCCGCAGGTTTATCTTGTAGATTTTTGTTTTGCATATAGTGCGGTCCTCCTGCACTTACTATTTGATATACATGTACAGTTGTACATGTAGTATACTGTTTGTATGAATGTATTGAGTTGTCTATGTAATATGTATGATTGAATGTATATGACTATGTCTAAGTGTATATGTATGCATGCTGTCCTTCATGGACGTTTTGATGCAATAAACATCTATCTATCTATAGTATTATACTATATGTGTTGTCCGTTTAATGTAAGATGTAAGGTTGTATGTGTGAGAGAGTGTACACTCCAGTGAGAGAGGTCAGTTGACTTTTGGTTGTAGTTGTAGTTTTGATCATAGTGAACTGGAATAAACTCTTTTACAACTTATATTTCTGTCATCTAATAATTATATGAATAGGCTTAAGGCCTATTAAACATTTGAACACTCTTTGTAAAAATGATGTGAAATAAATGGCATACTATTTATATATTTTTCAGTTTGTTTGATACAAGCGAAGGCAGATATTTAAAATTAAGGAGAAGTTTTACACAGTTTACTATCTGTCAAATAGGTGAATACATTTACATGCTATTTATTTTTAACTTGGGGTGTTGGGGACTGGGGTGAGGGTTGGATGGCCAAAGGATTAGTGCATGATGAAGGTCTGTCATTGAGTCAACATTTAGCTTGATGTCAATATTGTTTTGTTTTTTATTACAGGTCTGTCAGCTTTTGTAAATATCAAAGACAATAAGTAAGATATTAACTCTAACTCGGACAGCAATTATGACATATTGTTTATTGTTTAAAGATACATTCCCGCGTACAAACTGGGTGGTTTAATGGTATATATGGACTAAAAACATATTCAAACTAATTAATTTGTCATAATTATGCTTCAAATCCTTCTCAAACATTGTAATTGCGAAGGAATGCCCTGCTTTTAAAATTCGATCATACCAGGTCATGTTTACATCATGTCTTGGAAGTCACAGGAGTATTCATTGCATACATAAGACGATGTTGTCTTCAATCGCTTACTATTTATTACAAATATCGAAGCCTAATTAAATTCTCGAATTATCCACTACCCGCGTCATTAATCTAAGACAATTGATTATATTTAATCATCGATGCGATCCGGATTATCAGCCAGTTGATTGATTTATGGAATCTGCCGCCACATGATTAACACTCGATGTAATTGTAATGGTTAATCCAGGATAAATACGATTAGAATTTTAAGATTTTTTTCCGCCATTTCTCAAATAGAATCGCCAGTACTGCAAAACGTTATCGCCAAAATCAAATTTTAATCGCCACTTTCATAATTTTACTGCATGGTGTGAGGGATTAGCCAATGAAATCATCTGTTACTGCGACTTCTTGGCGTGCAATGCACGGAACTGTGGGTAAACCACTAGAAACGTCAACGCTGATTGATTAATCAATGATTGACGTCATAGGGTCAAAGACGATTTGTACGACCTCTGATGTGACCTTTTACTACAACCGGTCAGATTTTCATGTAGTTTTTATCGAAGGTATAAAAAGACGAAACGAAATATAGATCTGTATTTTAATATCAGATTGGATATTAACTATAAAAGTTAGCCCATGTGTTTTAGATCAAAGGAATATGATATTTATTATTACAGGTATGAAGCCCACACCTTTAACCTTTATCTCTTCCCACATGCTTTTGGACCCAGTGATGTTAGATTTATGATTCAGGTAAGTTGCATATATAAATTTCAATTTAATTTGACCTGTTGCGGCAAGTTCCTCATCATCATTGTGATTAAAACACAGATCCTATTTTGTTACGTTTTTATAGTTCAAAATTTCGTTTTACTTGTCTTTACTACACTAGGATCTGGAAGTGTTGTTATCATTGACGTGTTTTGGATGGTGTGAGGGATTATCCAATGAAACGGTCTGTTACGCTGAGCTTTAGGCGTGTTTAGTGGGTAATTCACTAGTAACATCAATGTGATTGGTTAATCAAATGTCTGACATCATAGGGTCAAAAGCCGCTCGTATGACCTCTGACATGACCTATCGCTACAACCGGTCAGATCTTCATGTAGTGTAGGCCATCGAAAGTATAAAAAAACGAAATGAAATATAGATCTGTATTTTAATCAGATCGGTTCAACATCATAGGGTCAAAAGCCGCTCGTATGACCTCTGACGCGACCTATCGCTACAACCGGTCAGATCTTCGTGTTGTGTAGGCCATCGAAAGTATTATAATCAGATTGGTTCCTCATGTTCTGCTTTTTCGGGATACAGTTGGTTCCATTGAGTAGAATTCTTCAGGTAACCATATTATATAGAGTTTATATTGGTAAACACATGTTATATTTCGGGATACAGTTGATTCCATTGAGTAGAATTCTTCAGGTAACCATATTATATAGAGTTTATATTGGTAAACACATGTTATATTTCGGGATACAGTTGGTTCCATTGAGTAGAATTCTTCAGGTAACCATATTATATAGAGTTTATATTGGTAAACACATGTTATTTATTTTGTACACGAGGAGCAGTCCATTTGCTGATTACACTATTTTGCTTGAATACACTATTTTGCCTATAACGTTTTTTAGGACTTCGAATTCTGTCTTATGGTTTGGATTGTTCGTACTTGGTTTTATTTTATTTATAGCACGTTTTCATGAGTTAACAGGTTAATGAATGAAGCGTGCTATAAATGACTTGTAACATTGACAGCTATTCAACATGCTTGTTGTTATTGCACAGAAAACCCACCCCACTTCTCTATATGATTTCTACTAAAACTAGTGTAAACCAGCAAAAGTGTGCAATAACATTGAACATGTCTAGTTATTGCACGGTTAAGCTCCACCCAATCTACTAGAGGGAAAACAATCTGCTTATTCAACGAAAAGAACAAAGGAAGATTTCCCATCCATGTTACAAGTATTGTTTCACTACGGTGCGGAGCGCAAAGTGTCTTTAAGTATTGAAACCTTAGGCTTCTGGACTGTGCCTCAGCCAAAACAACGAAGTACTTCTACCCCCTCTGGTACCCTTAGGGTTCAGTCTAATCAACTGTATATGGATAATATGTACAGCTCTGCTGTCAAGATTGGCAAATTTGACTGCAATAGAAACCTGCTTCTGAAAACTTTAAAATCAGTTTATAATTACTTTTTTGTGGACTCTGACTTTCGTTTTTGCTTTTTTTTCTGTTTGCTTAAAGTTCATAACATTAGATATTGATTAGTTTATTACCAGGATTTATTTGCACAATTTGTTTAATTTTTTTCAGGCATCAAGTATTTCTTTCTTGACCAAACATAATTTTGATTTTAACAAGGTAACTAAATCATAGATAAAATAATTTAACATGAGCCTTGGTAAATGGGTTGTAGTCTGCATAACAGTCAAATAGAAAAGGGTTTAAAGGGGAAAGCTAACAATTTTCAACAACGTTTCCATAAATTTCAAATATATATTCAGAAATAATGGCCTTTGTAACACAAGCAAAAATGTTTTTGTAAGTGAGAAATTAATTTTTATTACAACTTTTTTGCTTGTGTTACAAAGGGAATTATACATTTAAAATTTATGGAACCCTTGTTGAAAATCGTTGTTCTTCCCCTTTAATGACTGCTTACTTTGGTCATTTTGAGAGTAGTCCCGAAATGACCTAGTTTGTGTCCCTAGTTTGTGTCCCTAGTTTGTGTCGAGTGGACGTTAAATGCCATTTCTCTCTTTCTCTCTCTCATTTTGAGAGAAACATGATAAATTGTATATGAAGGAGGGGTTAAAATTTATGTTTTATTTATAGTTTGTATATGAAGGAATACCATATTTAGATATGGAGGAGGAGTTAAAATTAATGTGATCTTGTGTATTATTTATAGTTTGTATATGAAGGAGTGCCATATTTGGATATGTAGGAGGAGTTAAAATTAATGTGATCTAGTGTCTTGTTTATAGTTTGTATATGAAAGAATACCATATTTAGATATGGAGGAGGAGTTAAAATTAATGTGATCTTGTGTATTATTTATAGTTTGTATATGAAGGAGTGCCATATTTGAATATGGAGGAGGAGTTAAAATTAAAAGAGCATATTTCAAGAAAGACCATGTTTTCAGGTTTAGAAAGGTAAGCAGTATGTATAACATTTTGTTAAAAGAGATTTTGAAAACCTTGTAAGCAACAATATTCATGAATTGTTTTTGTAGTTTTTCTGTATATATTGATCTCATAATTCTTGTATTACTGTATTAGCTTGATAACGTTGAGAGAATACTCTTCGAAATGTCGCCCAAATAAAATTAAGTAGCTGTTTTTCCATCAGTATTTTGTGTATTGCTCTATCCAGTTACTAAATGCCTCTGAAAAATTAATATTATGAAAGTTGAATCTCTATTAGTAATATCCGTCCAAAAATGGTTCAATTCCAGTCACCATTTACAAAGATATGATGAATTGACAATTTGGCAACCATAGGCAAATGTTAGGTAAAACATTTAGATGAGATTATTTTCATAAGGTACAATTTTATGGAAACTCTTTGTTCATCGGTGAGATTAGTTGAGTTTCTATTGTGTAGGTTTAGTTGTAAATGGCCCCCTAATCAAAGAAAGGTGTTAAGCTTTAAATGTATTTGATTCTTATCTTTGTTGCATATTCTGTATATATTTGCCTACTATTCACATTCCTACTCATTTCCTTGATAAAGACGAGAATATCCTCGTCGAAACGTCAATTAGTATTAAACTTAGTAATTGTGTATCCATAAAATTGTACCTTGTGTTAATATGTTTAATTACTAAATGCCAATCAAAGATAAGATTATTTTCTATTGATATTTTGTTTTTGTTTTCTTAAGTTAAATTATCAATCAGAGTACATTTTAACGTGAATTAAGCCGTGAGAAATTTGATATTGCAGTTTCCAAACCTCCCTTCGAATTCATTTAATCTTACTCATATAATAAGTCCATTTATATCGCACTAATTCCAAATATAATCGTACTCATAACGCTACAAAAAACACAATCACTCTTGCAAATATTTCTCAAATAAGTATGTTTTCAATTTGGATTTAAAGGAGTCTAATGATGGACTGGATCGAAGATTTTCAGGTAGCGAGTTCCACAAGGAGCTGAGTTTAAATTTTGGGACAAGGTTGTTCTTAGGATTTGATCTTAGATTTTTCGATGGCATGTAAGCTACCACAAGTTCTCTCAGATAAGATGGCATTTCACAGTTTACGCATTGATATGTAAGAGATATCAGATCAATTTGAAGTCAATTCTCGCTTGCACTGGAAGCCAAGGACAGTGGTGATACTGTCTCTCAAAGGGGATCACGATGGCTAAGTGGGTAAAATGCTGGCTCGCTAGCCTGGAGGTCAGTTGTTCGATTCCTGCATTGGCCGAGAAAGTTCATCCAGATTTTCCGGCGAGGTTTCCCCTTGTCTAGTCGTTTGGATGGGACGCAAAAACGAGGTCCCGTATACACATTGGCGTGCACGTAAAAGATCCTTTGGCAATTGGAATTTGATATAAGAATAGGTTGTAGCGCCGCTGCGCGGGCAAAATTTCCCTTATAGCACACTGTATGGCGTACGCCCGTCTTCATTAGCCCAGTTTAGGAGCAGAACAGTAGAACGTTAAACCCCATTTCATTTCATTTTCATTTCATTTCTGTCTCTCAAAGGAGTTCATGTTACAATCCACGCTGCCTTGTTTTGTATGCACTGCGGTTTATTTATTGATGTTTTATAAAGTAGAAACATAGAATAAAATACTATTAACTTTATTTTTATGGTTATAGAGAAGTAGATGAAGAAGAAATACAATGTATATGTTCTGAGATCGCTGAATGGTTTGTTAGAAGTAAAAAACATGAAATATATAAAGTTGAAAATAATTCAGGTTAGTTTCATATTATTGATATACAATACAACCAAATGGATGAATGGCACGTCGGGGTGGGGAAAACAAAACAACCATAGGCTCTGCTAATCAAAGTACATTCGACATGAATGGTTCGTTAAAAGTGAAAACATGAACTATATAAAGTTGAAAATAATTCAGGTTAGTTTCATATTATTGATATACAATACAACCAAATGGATGAATGGCACGTCGGGGTGGGGAAAACAAAACAACCTTAGGCTCTGCCAATCAAAGTACATTCGACATGAAACTTGGCACTTGTTGCTTGGAGAGAGAGAGAGAGATGAGGTTTAACGTCCACTCGACACAAACTAGTTCATTTCGGGAATGGTTAGCACGTGCGTACTGTATCATATAGTCTGTTATTGAGTCAACTGGCGCGGTTTCGATTCCCCGGTTGTACGTGACAAGCAGTAGGGTCGCCTGTCCAACCTTATGGCTTTGCTCTGGGTCCTCCGGTTTCCTCTCACTGCTAAAGACCCCTACGCACAAGCAAATTATTGAAATAAAATTGAACCATATGTTAGTCCCGAAATGACCTAGTTCGTGTCGAGTGGATGTTAAAGCACCTCTCTCTCTCTCTCTCTCTCTCTCTCTCTCTCTCTCTCTCTCTCTCCAAGATGGCTGTGATGACATCATGCTTGATTCCTGGTCCATAGTACTGTTATATTTGGTTCCTGGATCCTTGGGTGTTACACTAAACTTGTTAGAATTCCCATATCTTTATTACTGAAATAGGCAGAAGAACTACAACATAAGGGAGACAACTTATATCTACATAAATATAAGGATTCAGACCACAATAATATTCAATATACCATGTAATGACAATACGCTCATATATATGATATTCTGGGTTTTAAATGTTGTCTTTCCTTAGATACAAATAAGACAAATGCTTATCTGTTGCATACAGAAATTAGAACCAGATTTCCTGATGTCTGGACACATACAGATGAGGCTGATAATGTAGGTATTATTTTACGTTTGTCTTCTCATTCTGAGACATCACCTGTCCAACCTCGTTGGTTTTCTCCAGTCTTTTGGTTTCCTTCCACTGCTAAAGACCCCTACGCGCAAGCGAATTATTGAGATAAAAATTGAACCATGTTAGTCCCAAAATGACCAAGTTTCTGTCGAGTGGACATCAAACCCCCTTTGTTTTCTCCTTCTGAGACAGGTGGTGGGTCCTCCGGTTTCCTCCTACTGCTAAAGACCCCTACGCGCAAGCGAATTATTGAAATAAAATTGAACCATATGTTAGTCCCGAAATGACCTAATTTGTGTCAAGTGGATGTTAAATCCCATTTCTCTCTCTACCAATACTGGCAGTAGAAGGTCAACATTAATATTTTCGTTAATTTACAGATTATTGTTGAACATGTTACATCAAGTCGAAGAAGTGAATTAGAAGATTTAGATTTAGACACCAGAAAACAAGAAGAACAAAAGTTAGTTTAGTATATTACAAGGGCTGGCTGAAAAGTTCTAAGCCTGAAAAGGATAGATCAATTGGGATGAAGCAAAGTTTTGTCATCAACAAGTACAATCATTGAATGAATCATAGACATAAGAACTGCAAGTATAGTGCACCAGACCATCTTGTGAACCTACCCATTGCTATCAACCCATTTGATCTATCCTTTCCAGGCTTAGAACTTTTCAGCCAGCCCTCCCATAATATATTAGTAGATATTGAAAAATCCCCGGACAACTGCAGTACAAAAACAGACTTCGGTTGAAATGAGAGGTAGTTTATTCATCTTCATAAAGTTTCTGGTTAACAGATCCTTTATCGAATGAGCGGGAATTTTTATATATCTATAAAAGTCTTCCCCTCTCTGGCGGTACCATTGTTTGATCCTGCAGCTAACCAGCCTGTCCAGCCTCTGCTACTCTTTAAAAGAAGCATTATGGGAGATTAGATAAAGATTTGACTGTTCTCGTTATCATATTTAAATAATAGATGATGTAAATAGAATATGCTGAAAATTTCAGTCAAATTATTCCACTCTGAACCGAAATATTAGCTTTTGAATTTTAGGCTAGCCCCGATCATCATTATTAAAGTCGGTACAATAAAAAAAAAGTCTTGATTATCCATTTATTTATTTAATTATTTTTCAAAAAATGTATTCCAATCCGCTAAATATCACAGTTGAATATGGTCTGGATAAGTTAATTAATTTCTAATTAATAATTTTTGTTAAATTTTTATACCTTGGTTCAGTGTTTTTAATGATGAATTTACTACAGTTTAAAATTTGAGGGGGTAGGGGGTTTCCGGGGTTGAGTGGGCTAACTTTAGATTATAAGGTCTGTCCTTGAATCAAGTGGAAGGGCTTCAAGTAGGGTCACCTGTCTAACCTGGTGGGTTTACACTGTGTCCTCCGGTTTCATGGTCGCCTGTCCTCGTGGGTTTTCTCCGGGTCCTCCGGTTTCCTCCCACTGCTAAAGACCCTTACGCGCAAGCGAATTATGTAAATAAAATTAAAAACCATATGTTAGTCCCGAAATGACCTAGTTTGTGTCGAGTGGACGTTAAACCCCATTTCTCTCTCTCTCTCTCTCCGGTTTCATCCCACTGCTAAAGACCCCTACGCACAAGCGAATTATTGAAATGATATTGTACCATATGTTAGTCCTGAAATGACCTAGTTTGTGTCGAGTGGATGTTAAACCTCCTTTCTATCTCTCTTGTATTGTCAGGAACACCTGAAATCCCTATTCCAGACCTGAGTACCTGGGTGTATGAATATGTTTGTAAATTTCAGACTTGTACAGGCGATGTTGGGATTCACACGAGTGTTCAGATTACTTCAAGATTATCAGAAGGTATAATAAACATGCAATCTGATTGAAATACAGATCTATATTTCGTCTTTATTTTTTAATATTTTCGATGGCCTACACTACATGAAGATCTGACCGGTTGTAGTGAGTGGGAGTTCACGTCAGAGGTCATACGAACAGCTTTTGACCTATGACATTTAATTAACCAATCAGCGTTGATTTTTCTAGTGGGATATCCACAGTTCCATGCAACTCAGGCCAAAAACTTTTCGTAACAGACCGTTTCATTGGCGAATCTCTCACATCAACCAGAATGTGGGTAATATAACAACTCAATCCAGATCCTAGTGTAGTAAAGACAAGTAAAACGTTGAACTATAAAAATGAAACGAAATAGAATCTGTGTTTTAATCAGATGGTAAACAGGGAGATCAGTCTACATTTTTGTTAAACCCTTTAGCACTGTATACGAGTAAAATATTGACGGCCGATGGCATGGATGGCCGAATGCTTAGTGTGTGCGTTCTATATCACAAGGTCTGTCATTGAGTCAACTGGCGTTAACGGGCAGCTTCTGGTTGGTCTAATAATGAGCCCTAGTTAAAGGCAGTTTGGGGAGGTCCAAGTTCTAAAGGGGGTTAGTGAAGTAGAACTTCATTCTTAATGTAAATGTTTTATTTTTTAAGCCTATTGTAGGACACAATATGTTATCAGATCTGATGTTAGTTTTTGATAAATTCTACAAACCACTTCCAGGTTAGTCTTGTTTATTTACATTAAATTCTGCTTCCTTTTAATCATAAAATGCATTACCTTTATTGTGTTAAATTCCATTACCTACATTGTGTTGAATTCCATTACCTTCATTGTATTGTGTTAAATTCCATTACTTACATTGTGTTGAATTCCATTACCTTCATCGTGTTAAATTTCATTACCTTCATTGTATTGTGTTGAATTTTATTACCTTCATTGTGTTGAATTCCAATACCTTCATTGCATTGTGTTAAATTCCATTACCTTCATTGTGTTGAATTCCATTACCTTCATTGTATTGTGTTGAATTTTATTACCTTTATTGTGTTGAATTCCATTACCTTCATTGTGTTGTGTTGAATTCCATTCCCTTTATTGTGTTGAATTCATTCCCCTCATTGTGTTGAATTCAATTCCCTTTATTGTGTTAAATTCCATTACCTACATTGTGTTAAATTCCATTACCTGCATTGTATTATGTTGAATTCCATTACCTGTATTGTAATGAATTCCATTACCTTCATTGTGTGAAATTCCATTACCTTTATTGTGTTGAATTCCATTACCTTTAAAGTTTTGGTTCTAAAAATATATTCCAATCTGTACCAAAATTATGTGGGATTTATGAGGAGGTCGATGGGGGGGTGGGGTGGGTGGGACATGGTAACACTGTCCTACATAATTTGAAAAGGAATAGCAACAAAATACATTTAATTTTTACAAATTAAACGTGCATTATGCCATCTTATGTGTCGGGTTGTCATCAGTTTATAATTACTTTTTTATGGACTCCGACTTTCATTCTTTTTCTGTTTGCTTAAACATACATTATGCAAGAGCTAAATTTGCGCATTGCAGGTCTTTCTTTAGGCCTTAAATGTTATTAATTACACATTAATTAACTTATCCAGACCATAATCAACTCTCGATGTCATCTTATTTGTCGGATTGACACTGGATTTGAATCTGATCTGCTGCTCAACGCCAATTGATGATTAAATCAAGAAATGGATAATCAAGACTATGTTTTCTATCGTACCGACTTCAGTAATGATGACCGAGGCTAGGTCAAAAAATCAATCGCTAATATCTTGGTTCAGAGTGGAGCAATTTTCAGCATATTCCCTTTACATTATCTTTTATAGTGATAACTGCCAGCTCTTCATCTGATCTTCCATAATGCATATTTAATTCATTTTTTTATGACAATGTTTTCCAGAAAAATTCTGTGATTTTAAGAAAGAACTTAACACAGTTTTGCCAAGAATATACGACACTAAACATATAACCTTTTCAGCTAAAAAGGTAAGTTGAATTTGTCAAGGTAAATATATGATCTCAGTCAAGGCAGGTAGAAATATATATACAGTATATATAGGTAGTTAGAAGATTCCATTAGAAGTAGATAATATATGTAAAAGGTCTATACTATATACCGGAAAACACCGGAAAACTACCAGAAAACACTGGAAAACTACCGAAAAACACCATGTTATACTGAATACCGGAAAACACCGGAAAAACACTAAATACCGGAAAAACACTAAATACCGGAAAAACACTTAATACCAGAAAACACACTAAATACCGGAAAACACACTAAATACCGGAAAACACCCTAAATAGGTAACTTGGAGCCTGGTCCTCTGGAAAACACCGGAAAAACCTAACTGTAACCCTAACCCATCGCTGGTCCTTTGGAAAACACCAGAAAAACCTAACCCTAACCCTAACTCACCGCAAATAGAGGACCAGGCTCTGGGTTACCTATTTAGGGTGTTTTCCGGTATTTAGTGTGTTTTCCGGTATTTAGTGTTTTTCCGGTGTTTTCTGGTATTCAGTATAACATTGTGTTTTCCGGTAGTTTTCTGGTGTTTTCTGGTAGTTTTCCGGTGTTTTCCGGTATATAGTATTGTCGTATGTAAAATAAGGTAAACGCGTCCACTCTAGATTGTTATTTTATTGCTTACATGTTTCATACAAAATTCAAAGTAATGTAGGTATAGAAACATTACCTAGAATGGACGCCTTTACTTTATTTTACTTATACGTATATAAATAGTAGGGGATATTCAGAAACAATACAAAACTATGAAAATGCACTGCTATATTTATTAGAGGTAACCAGTGTATGTTAATAACAGGCCAATTGCCTACACATGAACATAAACAGTTCATATGGGCGGCTTATCTGACGGCCCAATTTCACTCGCAAAGAGATACGCTGTCAAAAGTGAAAATGGACGTTTTTGATTTTTGTCTTAATGAGTAATTGCTCCACCAATCCTCAGACATTCAGCAATTCGTCGTGGCATGCTCCTAATCAACCGTCCAATCACGATTTGGGGCAATCTGACCCACTCCTCTTGCAGTAAAACTGCCAATTCTTGCAGTGTTGTCGGTTGACGTTGACTTCAACGAACACGTCTCCCGATCAAATTAAACGTAACACACTAAAGCAAAGATACGCTAAACAGTAAATCTTATACAAGAACCGATAGGAAAGCAAACATGGATAGATAAACCAGCAAGCGGCAGTTTTCATCAACCTTTCCTTGAAGTGTCAAACTTGACAATGAACCCCTCCCATGGGTTTGGCGCTATTGCATGTCGCATGTGCAGCTCAGTGGTTCTGTTGGGGCGACAAGTTCTTCATCTGTGAACATACTCTCAAAACAAGTCAAGTGTCCATGACTATTTATCATATCACAACCTGCATAGGTATTTGCATTTCAATACCCCCTACTTTTTTTTTGAAGAGTATATATATATATATATATATATATATATATATATATATATATCATCTCAAAATATTGTTAGAAGGATATCTCAGCCACAGCTCTATGTTAAGGTCACCGAGGTTAAAGTGATAGTTTCATTTTTTTAAGTCAATTATGCATAAATATGTTAATACAAAGCCTTAAAAGCCATCTAATCAAAACACAGATCCTATTTCGTTTTGTTTTTCATAGTTCAAAATTTCGTTTTACTTGTCTTCACAACACTAGGATCTGGAAGAGTTGTTATATAACAGGCGTTCTAGTTGATGTTAGGAATTAGCCAATAAATCGGTCCGTTACGGTCAGTTCTTGGCGTGTTCTGCACGAAACTGTGGGTAAACCAGTAGAAACATCAACGCTGATTAATTAATGAATGTCTTACATCATAGGGTCAAAAACCACTCGTATGACCCCTGATGCAACCTCCCAATACAACTAGTCAGATCTTCATGTAGTAGAGGCCATCGAAAGTATAAAAAAAAACGAAATGAAATATAGATCTGTATTTTAATCTGATTGGTCTTAAAAGTTAAAACACCTGAAAACTAATCACTGTTCTACCTTGTTAAAGAATAATCCTATTAATCCTATAATTCATGTTTGTTGAAAAATTTGCATATGTATCATTTTCAAGTTAAAACAGGGATCCTTTGACAACAACCCCCCCCCCCCCCCCCTCAAATCCCCCCTCCCTCCCCCCCCCCCCCCACAGACCCCTCCAAAAAAACCACAAATGAAGGATTGTGTGAGAACCAGAATATTTTATTGGTATGGCCTTAAACATACATTATGCAAGAGCTAAATCTGCCTATTGCAGGTCTTTCTTTATTCCTGAAATATTATCTTAATTATTAATTAGACTTTTATTAACAAAACAAGACCATAATCAACTCTCGATGGCATCGGATTTCTCTGATATTAAGTAGATAAGAACGTTTCAGACATATTTTGATTTAATCATAAAATGGAGGAGCGAGAATTAGCTTCGAACAACCAGTACGGTGATCAAAATTATTGCACCGTCTTGTCAAACATTCAAAGGCTAATATCTTTGCTCGCAATAGAGTAATTTGAATGAAATTTTCAAATTATTCATTATACATGATCTATTTTCGAACTATTATAGCAAGAATGGCTAGCTCTTTATCTAAATCGTACATAATGTATCTTAAATTTTAAAATGTTTTTTGGCCTTAAATTTTCTACTCATATATTTACCACAGAAGTTTGAAATTTGTTTATATTAACAGGGTCTGGCTGATCATGTTGTTTTAGATAAAACATCGTTAAGGAAAATTTACCAGATCTTAAACAGGTAATACTGATTTATTTATTAGGGGAAGAGAAAGAAATGGGGTTTAATGTCATAAGACAAACAATCGAAACAAATTCTAATGTTTTCTGATAATTACTTCATGGGTTATTACTTTTATGTGTTGTAAATGTTCTCATTACTGACAAAAGAAAAAATATACGACAACCCTTGATGACTGTCCGGACGTCTTAGCTTCTGTGGGCGTATGTTTCGTTGCCTGGCAACCTTTTTTTCATTCCATCCGAACAACTAGACACTATTCCTTGCTATTGCTCCTCCATCCAGCTCGACTGTTAAGGGAAACCAGGGGTCTGTTTCACGAAATTTTAACTAAGATAAAATCCAAATTTTAGTCATTTGATTGGATAATGTTAGATTGATTTTAGTGCTTAGCCAATCAAAATTGCAGTATCAACTAAAATTTGGATTTTATCTTAAGTTAAGATTTCGAGAAACGGGGCCCAGACTAAAGGGTCTTTCTCAGCCAACATCGTGTTTGTCATGCTCACCGAGACACTAGATATTATTGATATTTTGAATCTATTTTTATTTAGTCAAGAAGTATCTGAGGCAGTTTTATTTTCACCATGTATTTTATTTATTTAGTAAAGAAGCATCCGAGGCAGTTTTATTTTCACTGTTTATTTTATTTATCTAGTAAAGAAGCATCCGAGGCAGTTTTATTTTCACCATGTATAGAACATGCTGCTAAGTTTGATTTATATAGTAAGTTTAATTTTAAAGTTAATTGTTAAATGAAATGAAATGGGTCAGCATCGTTTACGGCCTACTTCTTTATCGAATTCCAACTGTCAAGGGTTCTTTTTATGGGCACACCAATTGCTTGTGGCCATTCTAGAGCCAACATGTTTTATCCGATTGACTTTAATTTTATTCACAGTGTCATGAGATGTAAAAAGTCTATTCATTTGCAGCAATTGTCCATAACCTTAACAGCTAAATTCATGATATTGTATATGAAATGTTAACCCTGGATCCAACAATGTCTAATGTTTATCTTTAATCAAGGTCAAGATCGAGGATGGTTCTCAGTCAAATGTCGCATAATTTAATTATTTAGAGAAATTAAAGTGTAGAAGATGGGGGTGGGGGTGTGGGGTAGGGGTGGTGGGGGAGAAGTAGGTAGGTTGAATCTTTACGTTAGCTTGTAAGGGTAAGGTATGTCATTGAGTCAAGTGACATGGTTTTGATGCTCCGCTTGTACCTGTCCTACCTTGTGAGTTATCTCCAGGTCCTCTAGTTTGTGTTGAGTGGTCGTTAAACCTCATTTCTCTCTATATCTCTTGTAGAAGATGTAGAATTACCACATGAAGCTGGTTATGATGCGTTTATGTGTGGTTCCGGTAAGTTATATATATAATTTATTACCTGACCCCAATCATACGTTTATTACCTGACCCCAATCATTTTATTACATGACCCCAATCATACATTTACTAGCTGACCACATTCATACATTTATTACCTGACCCCAATCATACATTTATTACCTGACCCCAATCATACGTTTATTACCTGACCCCAATCATTTTATTACCTGACCCCAATCATACATTTATTACCTGACCCCAATCATACGTTTATTACCTGACCCCAATCATTTTATTACCTGACCCCAATCATACATTTATTACCTGACCCCAATCATTTTATTACCTGACCCCAATCATACATTTACTACCTGGCCCCAATCATACATTTATTACCTGATCCCAGTCATACGTTGTTTTTGTGGTTCAGGTTAGTTATAGTATAGTTTATTGTATAACAAAGTAATAAGGGTTGAGGTGCCCAAATTTAGATTGTTGTTGATTCCATGATGTACTGAGGTTACTGTGTAATTGAACATGGCATCCGAGAGGTTTAATATATTAAGGTATTAGTTAGTACTAAATACTTTAATTAAATGACAGTCAAGATTATCTCGGAAATCGGAAATAGTCAGTGAGATAGTTGACCGTTAAATTAATTATTGGTTATGAGTATTTGTTAAGTATAAGTAGCTCCTTTTCGACAAGGGGTGTTGGATGACTGAATGGTTAGCACGTGCGCGCTGTGCTGTATCATACAGTCTGTCATTGAGTCAACTGGCGGGGTTTCGATTCCCCGGTTGTGCGTTACAAGGAGTAGGGTCTCCTGTCCAACCTCGTGGGTTTTCTCCGGGTCCTCCGGTTTCCTCCCACTGCTAAAGACCCTCTACGCGCCAGCGAATTATTAAAATAAAATTAAACCATGTGTTAGTCCCGAAATGACCTAGTTTGTGTCGAGTGGACGTTAAACCCCATTTCTCTCTCTCTCCTTTTCGACAAGATCGACTCTGGACTGCTTTGATTCTATCGTATATGTCGTGGTTGAGAGAGTAAATGTTTGTTTATCTAAGAGAATATCTTCCGTCAAAGTGGTGGTTGATTTTGAGGCAGTCTGAAGAGGTTGATACGAACAACCGGGGAAAACCAGGACCCTATTTCACAAAATTTTAACTAAAGATAAAATCCAAATTTTAGTAGATACTTCAATTTTGATTAGCTAAGCACTAAAATCAATCTAATATTATCCAATCAAATTACTAAAATTTGGATTTTATCTTAGTTAAAATTTCTTGAAACAGGCCCCGGGTTTTAAAGTAGCATTAGGTAAGATTAGATAAATGAAATAAAATGAAATGGGGTTTAACGTCCAACTGTTTTGCTCCTAAACTGGGCTAATGAAGACGGCTTAGATAAAGGGCTTTCAGTTCTCACTATAATAGTTAAGAAATAGATAATGAAAAGAGAATATGCTAAAAATTTACGTCAGATTGCTTCACTCTGAACTAAAATATTAGCAATTCAATTTTAGGCTAGTCGCGATCGTTATTAGTACCGTTGGTATGATAATAAACAAAGTCTCGATTATCCATTTTTACATTAAATCATCCATCACAAAACGTATACCAATCTGCTAAATATCCCCGGCTAGCCATGGCATCGAGAGTAGATTATGTTAAAAAAATGTCTAATTAATAGTTTATATAACATTTAAGGTCGAAAAAAAGACCTGCAATAGGCAGATTTAGCTCTTGCATATGTATGTTTAATATGTGTTGCATAGTTTATTGCTAGATTAAAGGCCATATGGCTCTATTCTTCGAAACCGTAAATGGTTCTTAAAGCACATATTAATGTAATACAGTCCTTCACGTTTAAGGGGAGCTTTCGCTCCTGCTCCTCTCGACGCACGTCGGCTTTCCTTCGAAGGAGTCATTAAAGACTCCTGCAAATTAGCTAAATCGCTCTCCTAAATATTGAGATTAATAAACTACTTTCAGTACCTGCATATATTCAAGGTATCAGGAGCTTTTTATGGCTCCCGCACCATTTTATAAACATGAAGGACTGGTAATATGAATATGTATAAAGTGATTTATATTAAATTTTTGAAATATATAGCCTACTGTATTTCTAATCAATTAGGTTCGGTGAAATAGATGAACAGTCCAATTTGAACGAAAGTCATTTACATCTTCTCAATCCATTCTTTCATTTTATTGTATGTGAATCAGCCATTACTAATTACTTCTGTATGGTCTTAGGATATGTTTTTCTTTGTTAATTACAAATGGCACCCAAAACCACAGAGTACACGACTTGTGTACTGTTTTCAAATGTTCACTGTCTTAAATATTGGATATTAGGATCCCATATTGTCACGGCAAGATAACGACATAAATATTGATTGAAATGGACCAGTATTGAATTCTAATTTGTATTTTTAATTTCAAATATCATAGAAAATATTGAGTTACAGATTTAGTTTTACCATTTAAAGTTGCCGATTGTACCTTTTTCTGATAATATCTCATTTTTCACGGCCTGATCTACGCTTAAATGTGTGGAATTGATTATTTAACATTTAAAGATACATTATGGGAGATTAGATAAAGAGCTGGCAGTTCTCACTATAATAGTTAAAAACTAGATAATGTAAAGGGAATTTGCTGAAAATTTCATTCAAATTGGTCCACTCTGATTTTAGCGATTCAATTTTCAGCCTAGCGTCAATCAGCATTACTAAAGTCAGTATGATAAAAAAAACCCAACATAGTCTCGATTATCCATTTCATAATTAAATCATGAATAGAAGACGAACAGTAAATCGGAACCTAATCCAATAAACATCGCAGGCTAGCGATGCCATCACGAGTTGATTATGGTCTGGATAAGTTAATTAATGTCTAATTAATAATTTAGATAACATTTCAGGCCTAAAGAAAGACCTGAAATAGGCAGATTTAGCTCTTGCATAATGTATGTTTTAAACATTTAATTTAAACATGCATTATACAAGAGCAAAATCTGCTTATTACAAGTCTTTCTTTAGGCCTGAAATGTTATCTAAATTATCAATTAGACATTAATTAACTCATCCACACCATAATAAACTCTCGATGTCAAGGCTAGCCTTTGATGTTGGCTGGATTAGATTCCTATATGCCGCTACTGGCAGTTGATAATTAAATCAAAAAACGTGGATAATCGAGACTATGCTGTTTATGTATGATTATAGTAATGATGACCGAGACTATGCAAAAATTTCACCCGCTTCATTCTCGGCTCATAGTGGATCAATTTGACTGAAATTTTCAGCAAATTGCCTTTACACTATCTAGTTTTTCACTATTATTGCGAGAACTGCCATCTCTTTATCTTATCTCCCATAATGTATCTTTAAGAAAACAAAATGAAAATATCAAAGGTAGATAATCTGTCAGTTGGGATTCAATCAGATTAAAAAGAGGCCCATCAAAAAGTTTACGCAACATTGACTTGTTTATATATTGTCTACATAGGATGCTGTATGATGTTGTGAAATTTTCAATTCATCATGCCTTTGTAAATTGTCAAGGTCATTGAGGGCTGGATGGCCGAATGGTTAGCATGTGCACGCTGTATTATAAGGTCTGTCATTGAGTCAGCTGGTATGGTTTTGATGCCCTGGTTGTATGTGACAAGGACTAGTGTCCAACCTTGTGGGTTTTCTCCGGGTCCTCTGGTGTCCTCCCACTACCAAAGACCCCTACATGCAGGCGAATAATTGAAATAAAATTGAACCATATGTTAGTCCCAAAATGACCCTCCCTCTCTCTCTCTCTCTCTCTCTCTCTCTCTCTCTTAGTATGTAGTCTGAAATAAAATGAAATGAAATAAAATGGGGTTTAACATCCTACTGTTTTGCACTGCCTCAGCTAATGAAGACGGGCATATGCCATACAGTGTGCTATGAGGGAAATTTTGCGCAGACAGCAGCGCTACAGCCTACTCTTATATCAAATTCCAACTGTCAAGGGATCTGTACATGCACATCAAAGTGTAACCAGGACCTCGTTTTTTCATCCCATCTGAATGACTAGACAGCTGTCCTTGTCAGGCCCTCCTTCCTGCAACACTGACAAGGGGAAACAACGGCAGATAATCGTGATGAACTTTCTCGGCCAACACCAGGATCAAACCCGCGACCTCCAGCGTCTTACTCACTGAGTCACCGTGGCTCCCTTTAGTAAGTAGTCTAATAAGAATGAGACTTAATGGGTTAATGAGTGTTAATTCTAATATCTTAATCCCTGTATAGTTCAAGATTTATAAGCCTATTGCCTGTTAC